CACCACCTTCCTTCCCAGCGGAGAGATTGAGCTTTAACGGAAAACCAATGTCGAAGTGTGTCCCGCTCAGCCGTCCCACTCGGGTGCTGAGTGTGATCCCCGTCACAGGGGCGCCGATCTTGCATGGGAAAGCAACCACCCCAACGCACTACCACTCACTGGACTCTCGCAGGAAGGCACCGACACCCTCACCGAATCAACAGACATACCGGCCGCCGGGCCAAAAAACGGTTCTTGAAGCATGCATCGGATTTCAGCTTTCAGATTTCGGATCCGTCATTTCATTTCTCCAAGTCTTGTTCGTGTTTCCACGCTTTGTCATATTGATGCCGCGATTCTTTCATCGGCAGAACTCAAGGTTGGGCATTAGAGCTCTTCAGTCTAATTCGAGATGCATGAACAAAGAGCAACCACACCTACCAACAAGCTCACATCTAGCACCACCTTACAACATACTCTCCATCGACACCAGAGATGAGACTTTCAACAACAACATGACAATACAACTCGGCACTTCTCCGCTGCTTTTTGCTGCCGCGCCGCGCCGTGCCATAGCTACGACCACGACATGCATTTTCCGTGGCCATACGCTCATGCCACGCCACCACCATTACCTACCACACCACCTCAACCCACATGGCCGCTGCCACAGCCATCAACTGCACCCACCTTTCCCACGGCACAACCATCGGCATACCCTCACCCACAACCACAACCATTTCAACCACCACCTTTTTTGTCCAATCCTACCGCCACTGCACTGACCTACGGCACACCATCCACTTGGACGTTTGTGCAACCATGTCACGTGCCACCGCAGCCCACACATCCAACTCCAGTATTTCCGTCAGCAGCACCTCCCCCTTCATACCTGTTGCCACCACTTCATCCCACACCACCGGCTGAACTTCCTCCCCCCACTACACTGACACATCCCCCTCCAACACAGCAACAGACCGCGATTGCCAATCATCCATCCACAGACCCACAATCCGCCATCCCCCAGGGCGTTTGGCAACCCTATTAAGCTTTTCCCCCAGTCACACAGCCTCCACCCCAACCATTGCCCCCGCCACCACCTCCACAAACCATCAACGCCTCACCACCAGTCCAGCCTCCACTCCCACACCAGACACCATCCGATCCAGCACCACCAATCCAACACATCCCCACAACCGCCACGGACGCTCCATTGCCGGTCCAAAACACGACCCCTCCAGCTACTGTATCCCAACATTCTGCATCACCATCGCTTGCATCAGCCACACCAGCACCCGGACCCTCACTACCTGCACCAGACAAGCTTGACACCACTGTCTCACCAGCACCACAACCACTTTCCCCGCAGCCACCACACAGCAGTCGCCGCCACCACCACAAGAACCGACACAAGTCCGACCATCGCCGCAGAGGACGCCACCGCCACCGTCGCCGACATCGACATCACCACCACTCCAAGCACCACAGCACAACCCGGCGACGGCGTTCGCCCTCGACATCCACTTACACATCCAGCCTTACACCATCCCGCAGTCGCTCACCACCACAACCCATCGATTTACGCCCCAACACTGAACACACCAACCCAGACCCCTCTCAATTTCCCACCACAGCCGTCCTTCGTCGCCCAATCAACCGTTGGCGACCTCCACCCAACTTTCACACCTTTACACCTGCAGACCAAATCCTGGAATGGCTTGAATTCCACGCCACCCAACTCGACAACCCCAACCGACCACAACACCAGTACATTGCCAATCTCCTCACAGACTGCAACATCACCTACAAGGAGATCACCGATTTCCGGCAATATACTCACGCCAAGTGGAATGACACAACTCACCAATACGACCAATTCCAATACTACGCCATTTCACTTCCTTTCCTCAACACCAAAGCCACTACACCAGAACCACCTGCGGTTTCCCGAGCCACATCAACCCACCGGGAAGTCGCCCACATCAACGCAGGCCACACAGGCCCTGTCGGCAACATTTCCAACATTCTACGCCAAGGCCGATTTTTACCCAGCACACTCCACTTTGCCAACTACCCTGGATTTTTTGCCCAGGGCGTTCGCATCACCCACAACCAACCCCATGACCACAACGAATTTGCCCGCATCATCCACAACACCTGGCAACTCCACAAGAACTCCCATTCCCTTATCATCACACTCCTTGCTTGGGGTGCTGCCACAAAATATACCTCCGGAGGTGAGGAACACGCCATGAACCTCCTTAACGATCACCATGGTGCAGTCTTCCATCAGAAGGGCCGCTGCTGGGTGATCCACCCGGACCACGCCATTGTCAAAGGACTGGCCTGGTCCACAAACTCCACTCCACCTGACACATAACACCACTGTCCCACACCTACACACCACTACCACCTCCACATCCACCTTTGGTTTCACACCACCACCTAACCTTTGCTCGTAGCAGCCAAAAAGAGCCTCCTGCAGCGGCCACGCGAATTTTGCACCCTCAATTTTTCAAGCTATGCAGTTTTTGCTGTACACATCTTTCTTCGAATCGTAACGGCTGTTTTGATGGAGTATTTCACATGTCAGAGTTTCATGCACTTGACTGTCCAACCGGCATTGCATTTTCGTACCACGCCTGTGGGAATTTGATGCTCGTTTAATTCATATGCACGGCCTCGTGATGACGCGCTCCCGCAGACTCGCCGCTGTCCGGCTGCTTTGGCGCGCTGCTGCAGCAACCCGTGACGATTCTGTGCTACTGTACATCCCTACATCTTCGAATCATGAGCAGCACACCGACACCTCTACACAACGACACCTCCACTCTCATACACCGAACCACAGTGGTACTTTCGCAGGTGCAAAACCTGCTCAGACAAGCAACAGATATTGTAGCACACCTTCACACTCATTTCCTCCACCACATCCACCAAGCGGATCCCACTTTCCGCCAACACTTTCAGCCACTTCCAACTCCGCCTAACCACCCTATACGTTTACCATCCACCACCTCCTCCTGTGACTCAGCACCATCCAGACCACCCATCCGTTTACCAGCACCACCCTCAAAAGACTCAGATGACACACCAACAACACCCCCAGCTCCACAACCTACCACAACACGCAAGCGGAAGCAACCACTCCCACCACCACTGAACCAACAGGCGGACTGGGATGCTTGGGACGGCGACGCCGACTGCCGCCTGGTTGAACTCAAAGAAAACCCCAGACTTCGTCCCAACTGGACCACTGTGGCTCGCCGAGTAGCCCGATGGCAAGAACTCAAAGACATGCAACGTCAGCAAGATCAGCAACTTTCCCTCACACCACTACCAACAGAACCACCAAGACAAGCACCCTCCCTCTCACCAACACCCACCTCACCAGCAGTCTCCCCAGCACCACATTCACAACCGGATTTTTCCCCTTCCCCCATAACAACGCCACCGACTTCACCACACCGATCACTTCCTGCTGCTGTGCTGCTGACGCCGGCCGCTGAGCGAGAACTTAGTGAGAACAGTCATCCGGAGAAATCTCCACTTACGCCCGTTGGCAGTTATTTCATTTGACCCGTTTCACCCAGCTTTCTCTACGGCGTGCCGCAGGACAAATCCACTGACATGCACTGACATTTAGTTTTTCACGTCCTGTCTACTTTCACCAGGTTTGCCCAACTTCGGTTTTTCAGTTTTCAGGCTCACTCCAGCTCCGCAGCCTTTTGTGCGCCATTTTATTGCACCATTGTCATGGCCAATCCTCGCGCTCGCCCTCTTGGCAACACCGCCGACACAGAACATTACCTCCCACAGCGCCCTCCGAGCTGGCTCCAACCTTCGATTTGCACTCAGCCTGACTTTCAATCCCTCAACAGCTCCTTGGACCTTCTTTTTCTGGTCAACCAACACCTCCGCCATCACCCATTTCACACTGAACCTATGCCAAGCCAGACATATTTTCAGGACCAGAGAGCATACAACCTCCTTTACCGAATGCGCGGTGACCTGATCTTGCTGGACCGCCTGATTGATAACCTCTCCCAGACTCGTCGGCTCCTTCAATTCGTTACCACCGGCCCAGGGCTCCCAGGACAATACCGCATCAACCCCACAGCCTCACTCTCCAGCAGAAACCTGGCCATTCTACACGACATACCGCCAGGTTTTCCACTACCACCCGGACTCTCCAGCCGTTCACCCTCTCTCTCACCACGTACCCCACCACAAGACGCAGAACGTCTACACTCTTACTGGACAGGTCCCCCACCACAAGCTACCCCGGCCACCAACATCAGCACTGCCACTCACACCAGAGAACGTTCACGGTCCCGCGACAACCTCTCACACCGCAGTGGCTAATTACAACATCGAGCGCTGCAGCAACATCAAAACTCAGGCTCTACAGCAGCTGCTACGCAACTTGCCAACTCTGAGACGGCATCCATAGCCACGGCTGCTGCTAC